AGCAACACCCCTGTGGTGCAGTATAGCAGCCTGGTGACTGAAGTCTGATAAAAGGAGCAGTCAGTGTTGGAAGAGTATATAGTATTACCGTAATATAAAAAAAACAGACAACCAGAATGCTGTATTGTAGATGTTTTTATATCTGTATCTGTACCCTGACACTCTCCAGGCGGATCTGGTAGCCCACAGAGTTCCCCAGACACTCTGCGCGCTCCTGTGCCACTCTCTGAGCCACTGACATGGCAGAAATGCGGCGAGGCTGCGTGCAGATGATGTTGGCCACCTGCTCCGCGGGGCCACTCAAAGAGGCATCTAGAATGAACTGAGGAACCTGAGTGGTCTTACCACACCTGCAGAAAAGTCACATTAATTCAAAAAAAGCACATGAAACACAGTCATGTTTAGGAACAGGCAATAATCACAGGCATGTTTAGCATCTTTTTTGTGAAGGTGAATTTTTATACTTCTTTCAAACTCGAGTCCTCTTTTATATTAAGCTTACACTGGACTTTGGTATAGGCCATCTGTTCAGCCACAGCAGGTTTCTGTCTAAGTTTATATATGATTTTTATATTATATGATGATCAAATTGAACCATTTATCCTTAACCATTTTCATACAAAACCCAGACTACAAAAGAATGAGAGTTTAGAACAATGTGAAACCTGAGCTTTTGGTTCATTGAGATTACCTATGTACATACACTGATCTCTCCAAAAGTTGATTCTGTTCATCTGGACGTAGCGTTTTGTGGGAGAAACGTTTCGTCACTCATCCAAGTGACTTCTTCAGTCTCAGCTGACTGCAGGTTTTCCCAAATCTTATAAACAGTAAATTTGCATAATAACTGAAACCAGCCCACTGAAGGAACAATGGGCTGGGAGGTCAGTTCCTTAATCATAATTATGCAAATTCTCGTGACCATTTCTCATGACCAAATTCTCAACAACCACTGACCAAAACCCACTGATCAATGGCCATGAGTACCATTCACAGAGAGTTGGGGAATGGCTGCAATCACAGCATTGTAAGATGGCGAAAGATGTACCCTTAGGCCCCCTCCTCGATTCAGAGATGGTTTTTCCCTTTTCACGTAAATGGCCTCCTTGACTCCGCGCTCAAACCAGCGTTCCTCTCTGTCCTAAGGGTACATCTTTCGAGACGATACACTGATCTCATTATTTAAAACTTCAAATAATTATAACAATATAACAGCAGATATGACAAAAAGTAAGGAAAGCCATAGTAGATCTCATTTATAAACTTTCAATTTTAATATATCTGATGTAAATGTTTTTAATTCCATACAAGCTAAAACCCTTCATATATCCATACATCACATTTGACTTGCTATTGGTTGGGGAAAAAAGGCTGAAAGGGTGGATCAGTATCATTAAAATATATATTTTCTTTAATTTATAAGTCACGGTAAAACTCTGGGACCTACCCAGTCATGCCACTGATCACCAGCACCTGACACTGGTCCAGTGCATCTAGGATGTGCTCTTTCTCTTGCCAAGCTGGAAGATTCTTCCTCTGTTCAAGCATAGAACTGTAGCGTCTGGAGGACTGGTTTGACAGAGGAACCAAAGGAAATCGGAAACAGATTACAAAGGATGCATCATACTGAGAAGGATTTGGAGGAAGAAAAAAAAAAAAAAACCACTTTTTTTTTTTCCTAAGACCCACCTGTTTCCTACTGAACTCTTTGCACAGCTTGCTGTTTTCTAGCAGCAGATTGCCCATCGTATTGTGCTTTTTCACCATGTTCCTCTTTAGCTTGACGTAACTGTCGTTCTTAACTGGAACTGCGTGGTCCCTCTCATCCTCGTCTTTCTCATCCAGCTCTTCTGCATCCACTGTCCGTTTTACTAAAAAGTGAGCAGAATTAAATACAGCTCTCTATTGTATAAAGAAATGACAGAAAATATATAGCAAAAATGTACATTTCTATCCGACTTACTATCTGTGGTCCTTGGGTTGCTAGATGCAGCAGCACTCCCGCTGTTTGCATGGTTACTACTGCTGGTGATGGCATTCATGCTCTCCTCAGAAGCTTTGCTCCTTACAGTTTTACTCTTTGCTACGGCAAGAAAGGGTGGAGGAACAGCAATCACAGGAGGTGGGGTGCTGTATTTGTGATGCCGTATGGACAATAGTTCTTTCATGGTATTTTCATCCTCACACAAGGTTATCAGGGTGTAAACAACAGGCTGGTTGCTCTCTGCTGCAGACAATGCCTCTCCAAATAATCTCTCAGTCACATGAAGCCTCCCCGCAGCGCAGAGAGACTCATCATTGGTACTGAAGGCAACTATTGGTGCTTGAAAAGGGTAACGGTTCCCTTTGGGGAAACGAACTTCCAGCTCATACTCAGGAGGAGAATAGCTGCTGACACCAGGCTGGCCTGGGCCTTTCAGGTCCGAGGAACCAGCCTCAGACATGTCTTTTTTGGGAAATTCATGTTTGAACCGACATTTGTTTCCATAGCGGCAGCCTTGACCTTTCATGTAGAATTTGCAGATGTCACCGATGTTTGGAGCTCCTCCACCTACCACTCCTCCTTTCTTAACAGGAGATCGTGAGAGGAACGACAGGTCCAGGGTTACTGTCCATACAGCATTGGCAATGCGCTCACTGAAGCGATCGCCATAAATAGCAGCTAGAGCCAAGGCCTCCTCCTGCTTTTGGTTTACACACTCATCCAAAGGCACCTCATCAAGTCCATCAGGGGAAACTGCTTTCTGACCATAGCGCTCAGTGAAAATCTGTTGGAGGAGCTGTTCCAAAGTTGCCCCAAACTCTCCTCCACCAGCTTCCAGCGCCTGTTTGCTGCGCTCCCTGTCAAAACCATATCTACACAGAGGAAATTATGAGAAAGCAATGGGTTAGAAGCTAATTATATTTACACACAAAAGCACCGATTCAGAACATCTGATTTAGCTCATAGGTAAGGTTCTGGAAATAAAACAAAATTTGAAATCACCTGCAGAGCTTTCCTATGGCAAATAAGGAGATAACAGGTTCAGGGCTGGGCTGTTCATCCTCATATTCTAGGTCAAATGTTGGGCTCTCTGCTTTCTGCACAGGCTCATCATTTGTGGCCCAAAACTGGCCTTCCTCACGGTAATCCAATTCATCAAATTCCTCTTCTTCCTCCTCATCTATCCCGGAATAATCTGAACCAGAATCACTAAGGAACAAACAGAGGGTTGCATGAGTTTATTTCCTAGCTTTCTAATTGTTCTTTTCAAACAAGTGCGTATGTACTTACTCATACAGTTCATCAGAGTCCTGTGTCTGTAAAATCCTCAGCAACTCCTTGAGTTGTTCCTGGTTCGCATTAGTCATGAAGATCTTCTGCAACGGCATACTGCTCACCTCTGGTCTGATGCATTCACTGACCTTTGAGTGCATCCTGGTACTCGTCAAGGACCTTGGCAGAGCCTTGCTACTACTTTTCCCATTTCGGTCTCGATCTCTAGCTTTCTTTCCTCCTCGACCACCATCCCTGCCACCAGCATGGGCGCCACCACCTCGTCCTTTATTTGATCTGCAGACAGAATGAGACACGAGGCAAAATGATAGGAAATCAACTGAAGCCGAGCACACAAACCTAAATATTTCTTCAATATAAATTAACACCTGCTGAAATAAGAGGGTCCAAAATCAAGGTTGAAATCATCCCCGTCATCCCAGAGCCTGGTTCCTCCTTTCCGATTTCCTCCTCCTCTTTGTTTATTAAATCTTCCACCTCCTCTGTTGGGCTTCCCACCTCTTCTCCTTGCGTTCATTTCTCTACCAAAGGACACACGAACAGTTTCATTACATAAACACCAGTACAAATACAAAATTGACTATTAAAAAAGAAAAAAAAATCACTGCTGTCAGAATATACTTACACTCAATCAGTGTCCAATCATAGCAGAAAACAATCTGCGAAAAGAGACATTAAAAAGCATGGTCTGAATAAATTTTTCCAACCCTGGGAGTATACCCCCCAAAAAAAAACCTAGATGAGGGAGAGAGAGCTACTGGTTGCGGACCCGGGAAGAGCAGGCAGCTACTACTGTCCACCCTCTGCAGAGCACAGTCACACATCGCTGTGGGCTGGCTGGCACTTCAATTCAAGTGCGAGCAATGAGATGGTGGCTGACACACAGCGCTGGTGGCTACAATTATGCAATCAAACTTAACGTGCAGACTAACAACCCAGTCAGGGCGATGACCGATTAACCCCACGGCTAGGTGGCTGGCTACAGGCAAAGTACAAAGGACCAGAACATATAAGGAATAATGTGGAAGTAAGGTGCTGCACGTTAATCATCTTCAAGTATAAGGAGTCGGCTAGCTAACGAGCTAACAGCTAGCAAGCACACTCATCACTTTTAATGTAACAGTAAGCTAACTGAAAAAAGCCCCCCGGCAAGGCAAGTCAGTGAATCTAAATGCTTTAAAAATGTCAAAAAGTATAGAGCCGTGTTATAATCGGTAAAGTGCGCAATAAACTGAAAAACGAAACTTTAATAACAATTGCGAACAAACCTGAACCAGCTGCTCTGACCACCGGTAGCCTGCATCTCTTCTATTGGCCCAAACTCTTGAGTTCAACGTTTCTTTTCCGGTTTACGTTCGCGCTTAGAAAAAAAAACACAATAAAAAGTTAGCAAACAGTATCTCTCGGTCACTCGACAAGGTTAAAGTCGAAGGTTTTAGCGGCGGAAAGCCTTTCTTCTTGTTATTTAAAAACGGTAGTTTAATAAAACGCATTTAGAGCGTCGCACAAGCCATTAAAGATATTAGTTTGCACCAATTCCGTAACTATGGTAACAAGGGCTAGCCTCTAGCTGCCTTTAAAACACAGGACCCCCGGCTTACTGGCAGCATTAGCTCTATTTAAGGGCAAGTAAAAGTGAACAGTTACAGTGCGGTTGTAACTTGTGTCATAGTCACAACTTTCTAATCAGCTGTCTGACTTTTCACATTGAAGAAGTTGGCCAGAACACAGCATTTGCTCTCGGCTCTGACAACCATCTGCCAGCTGGGGGAAGCTGTCACGGATGTCTGGTAGAGTGTGATTGTGAAGATATGAGTTCTAACACCTAGTCTGCGCACACTCACACACACACAAACCCTGTTCTGATTCGGTGTGATTTTCATTTTCAGATAAGAAAGGAAGCGATTCTTTGAACACTGATGGTAAATATCCTCTTCGCGCTTCCATAGTTTGCATATTCTTGTGACAGCGTGAATAAATGTGTATTTGTTTACAGGGGGTGGACCTCTAAAAGTCTCCTACATTTTTCCAAACGGAGACAGATATGGTAAGTTATAGCTGGCTGATGATCCAGCTTTACACGTGAAACATTTCCACGTGTAAAGATCTTGGGAAGAAGAGACCTAATTCTTGGTTAAAGCAATACACAATGCCTCAATGTGACTGCTCAGATGAAATTTACGTCTATGCTAATTATGTATGAACCTCTGTTCTCCACAGAGGGAGAGTGCAGCAGGTCTGCATATGGAGCACTGGTGAGGAGCGGTGCTGGTAAACACACCTCAGCAAGTGGCATCACATACACTGGAGAGTGGCATGAGGACAAAGTATGCAATTACTGCCTCAAACATCAGTTATTTTTACCATGTGGTTAAACAAACATAATCTCCCTCTCTGTCGCTCTCCCAGATGCATGGTAGAGGGACCGTGCAGTATCCCTCTGGAGCACAATATGAAGGAGAATTCAAAGACAACATGTACAACGGCACAGGAACATACACCTTCCCAGATGGCTCTATGTGTAAAGGTCACTTTCATAATAACAGGTAAAAAAAAATGCCTTTTTAAAAATATTTTCTGAAAAAAAAAATCAGATAAATATTAAAGACAACTATTATATGAGAGTTTTTATTTTAAAAGACACAAACATGTCATTTGGGAGTTTGCACAGGAGATGCAGTTGACCAAACAAGAAATCCCAGACAAACCTAGTACAGTTCTTAAAGCACCTGACGATCAGATGAGATTTAAAGTTACATTGCTTAGTGTGGGGACGATTCAAATGCAGGATGTGGGAACAAACAAAAAATCCTAAATTTAAACTGGATTCTTCTAATCTTATGATTATACAGTCCAACCTGGGAACCAAAATATAGCCAACGCAAAGATATGACAATGACAAGGTTGAAAAACAGGTCAGTATATATGCACAAGTGATCGACTGAGGATGAGAAACAGGTGGGGAACCAAGCACAGGTGAAAGTAATCAAGCAAAGACAACCACAACCAGAGAAGCAGGCGCGAATGAAAGAGTGAAACCTGACACATTAGGAAACCAACTATCAAAGTAAAGCAGGAAATAGCTAAAGGACAAATTATAAACACTGAAATAATAAGACTTAACACTAAAACATGATAATAAGTAGAAGGTGCTACTACATAGACAAAACAGTGGGGAAGTCAGGGAAACACTAGGAAGACTTGAATAACAGCAAAATCAAAGCAGGAACCAAAAGAGGAATTTAAATGATCTCAGCTGGTGATATAAAAAAAAAGCATAAATCAACCTGCTCTAAATCAATTTTACACTGCAGCTTCTTGAACACAGAGTAGAACATTGATTAGTTACATCTTTATTTGCATATTTTCACATTCTTTATATTCTGTTCATGTGACAATTTCTGTGATTGGAGTGGTTTCTGCTCAATTAATCTTTTTTAGTCTTAAAAATAGTCAAGCATGAGGCAGAAAGTACCCGTTTGTTTCCCAGCTGGAGTTCTTAGGTTTGGTCAAGCCAGCTAACACAAAGGAAACCTGGCTATGTTAAACTTCCTTCATAGGTCAAACCCCAGGACCCCGACATAATAAATTGAAAGAATATATGGTAACAACAACTGTTTGGATGAACTGTATCCAGACCAGACTCAAATTTATGATCTTTCCTTATTTTTATCTATTGTACGCGTTTAGCTACAATATTGTGTAACCCAGTAGTTGTTGTTTCTTCGGTTCTTTGGCTTTGTTTGGTTCAAGCAGATGAAATTGAAGATTTTAGCTGTTTTTACTGGTGTGTTCCAGGTTGGAGGGAGATGGGGCTTTCATTAGCGCACAGGGACTGTTCTGGACGGGGGAGTTCCACGGCAAAGCAGCGCTTGGACTCAAATTGGAACACAATCTTTAGGCAAAACAAATACCACACTTTGGCACATATATCTATAACATTAAAATGTAACTGCATCAGACAACAAACTTCTTCTGTATTTTGTTTTTCATACAAGATCTTGTGCACATTTTCTTTCACTTCATATATTAGTGGGTGACAGTCGCTGGCATAAGTGAGTCAAGTATCTACAATACTGTGTCTTGACTCTTTGTGAGAGTGAAGGACAAGTGCAGGGTAATTTTATTATCACTGCACCACCATCCAATCCCAGAGGGGCTCATGTCCCCATCCATAACAGCTGTACCCAAACTGCTGGAACATTGGCCTGGGGAAGAGTGAGTATGTGGTCATTTTGACCTTCAGTGTGTGTACACACAGCTTTGTGTGTGAACTGGCTTTCTGCCCCACATAACCCCTCCGACAACTCGGCCAGCAAATTAAAATGAGTCGACAAACAAACACAAGTGTTCAACACTGTTTAATAAGCAACTCTGCAACTCTGATATTGTAATCTGTCACTCTATCGTATAATGCCTCTATGGATGTGTAATTGCACATACCCCTGAACATCTTCAGTGTCGAGTATTTACTGGATCTAGAATATGCAGATATGGAAGTGTGAGTAACAAAAAACACATATATACGGTAATAACGTCCATACAATACTAAACACTTCTGGTGAAATATTACCCCAGATACAATAAACGGCAATTTTCACTGATTGTACAGTTTTCAGGTAGAAAAAAACAACATTTTTTTTGCATTCCAAGTCTTCAGTATGGACTTGAATGCAGATAGCAGAAACAAGAGAGTAAAAACAGGAAATGGCACTCAAATTTGGCACAAGATACAAAAAGAAATAAACATTACATCTGAACTTTAAGTGCGACCAACACTCACAATGAGCTACTGTGTTTTCGTGACGATGCACAGCTTATGCAGTAAATGTTTAGAGGTTCAGGTGTATCAGAATGTATATTCCTCTTTACAGGTAGTGAGCCAGAGAATGGCAAGGAAGCTTTTAAAACTGTTGTCATATATATATATATATCATCTCCATAAACCTGAGAATCTATAAAGTATACAATATTATTGTTAAAGATATCGCCTTCCTGAAGAAGAAAACAAAAAGAGAATCCTGTGTGGTGCACAACACTGTACGAGTGACTGTACGAGAAACAAAAAAAAAACTTTTCTTACTGGACTGGAAAGACATTAACACGTGAACACAGAACAGAACCATGGTCATGCACATTTCAACAAGACTGAGTATCAAAATTATTTCTATACAGAGATAATATGTAACAGTTTGTAACCCCTCAAAGCAAGTAGATAACAATCTGAAACAATCAACAATTGTACAAAACAAAAGTACATGCTTTTTGTCCTTTGTGCTTGTTTGTGTGCTTAAGTAAAGACATATCCAGGAATCAAGGTGCTCAGCTCTGAAGCATCATTTAGGCAGGAAGTTGCACTAAACTGGAAAAGCAGCACCATTATTGTGACAACTGCCACCACCAGTGTGGTTCGCGTGTTGTGCTGTTGTTGAGTGGAAGTGGGGCGTCAGTTAACAGAATGGCCACTGTTCCGATCATGGGTTCGAATAACTCCAGATGGTTCGATAGAAAAGCTCAGGGAAGCAAGCAGACACCGTCCAGCCAAGACAACAAATTCGTTTGCACTCTAGAGGTCTTTTTGCTTTAAAATAAACAAATTACAACTTTTGGAAACACTTCATAAAACATTTTTTGTTTGGTTTTTAATGTTTTGCTTCTTTGTGGCGTGCCAAGACAAAACAGACACACTATCGACCTTTAAGTCTGTGGAGGACAAAGAGTGCCAAACTAAACAATCAATAAAAAAATGCTCCATTATTTGGATGAAAAACCTTTTAAATTGCCTTAACTTGTGTGTAAATTTCTCTATTCACAACAGCCAAGAAAAGACACGATCAAGACAGACTTGTGGACTTTCCAATATGTCCATAATATTGAATAATAATGTTTGCAAATATCTGTGAGAACTATGTCTAAAAATGTTTTTTATTGAATAGGTTTCTGGTGCATTGAGAGAAACTATTTTGTGTGTTTGTTTATGTATTAATATTTGTTTGATTATTTCTCTGTTTGCATTGTTACCACAATAATCCAAAGACATCCTGAAGCTGTAAAGTCATAGAAAATAAACAAAGAAAAATAGACTTTAACGTCAAAGCTTTGACATTTAGGAAACAAAGTTTGTTTGTTTTTTAAAGACAATTTTGGACTTGTTTTTCAAATACTGCACATATTTATTTATTTCCAATTAAATTTAAATCCTTAATCAATTTGTTAAACATGTACTAAAAATAGCAGGCTCCAGCCCCCCGTGACCCTGACAGGGAAAAGCAGAAGAGAATGGATGGAATTTACTAAAAATATTTGTTTTAAATCGTGAATGTATTTCAGTGTTATTTCCGCCTTAGTGTCTACGATTTCAAGCAGCTTTCTGACTGTTCAAGTTGAGCCTGGCATTAACTAACCAAAAGACATGATGATGATCTTATGATGAACTTGAAATTACAGCTGCTCAATTTGCATAACATAATAAGATATTTATTGAGAAATGAAAAGGTTGTAGTTGAAACATAATAAATGGATAAATAAACAAATGAACAACAAGAAATAAATGGATAAATTGGCAAATATGAGAATAAATGCACGAGTAAATAAATGCTATGCCTATATTTTTGGTATATTTTAAAGAATATTAATTAACTGAGTCACTCATTTTTTTTAATTTAGTTCTAATCTTGGCAGTTTTGCTTCCATATAGGTAAAAAAAAAACCTTCCCCATTCTACAGTCAATAACAAATTCAAACAAGTGATACACAGGTCATATTATGGCTCAGTCACACTTGAGTGAAACTACAACTATAACCTCATTGCGACTGGGAGAAATGAATAATTGCCCAGGAGCTGCACTGAATTTTTCACATTCGCCAACCAATTGCAAGCATTTGTGGTGACGCACTGGGGAGATCGAGAGTGCAACGCCCCTACGTCTGTGCAACCAGTCCCAATTGTAACTGCCGAGGTCGCCTGCCGGGAGAAAACCTGTTTTTAAACAGTCGTTGTCCAATTCAAGACTGACTGCCAGACAAACAGAAAAAGGTTTGCAAATTATTGTCCGTTTAGAAATGCAGACAAATTACCAACATGTTGCAATCTGAGCCAGTTTGTTTTGTTTTCAACAGAGAACTCAAAACAACTGGCTTTCAATTGACTGCATTTTTTTAAATTCCTGTGTAATTTTCAGTAAAAATTGCTGTCCTGCAGCAATTACGTCACCATTTCTGAATTTGTATTTCAGATCTTTGAGGTTCTGGCTGGACTCTTAATCTAAGCAGTGATGTTCTGTGTCTGTAGATAGCAACAGATTTGCAGTTTTCACTGATTTATCTTAGCTGATTGCTTTATTATCACAAACACATTGCGTTTAATTTCCAACTCGACCATATTCAGTGACAGACTGATAGAAGACCAACTCCATCTTGTTGCTGGTTCGTCAATATCTTTGTTCTTGGCACACCACAGTGGCTTTGAAGACAGCGACTGACTGTGAGTGGTTGCAGGCTTGGTCTGCACCTTTTGAAGGAACCATTTCAAAAGCAAGTTCATTGCACACGGTTGCAATAATTGTGGTCACACTGCGACCTCCAACCAATGTTTTCCCCAGTGTGACTGTAGCGTTACAGCTTCATTCAAAGTGATATGAAAAACTGAAGTGTTTTGATAAAAAGTACATCCAATTAGCTTCTGTGACCTCTTCATCTCTCACGACATGTATCGAAACAAACCCTGGAGGACATCAGTAATTATAGGTTTGACGTTGCTAAAAATGAAGCTAAGATATTTGGAATAGCAGGATTTCTGTATATAAGGTTAATTTTCTACTTAAAAATACAGATTTTTTTTTTTTTTAAGACAAAACATTTTGTTTTTTAAACTCACATCTCCCATTTTTTCAGATTTCCTTCTCCACACAAAGACTTTTACACATCCACAGAACAAACCCATACACTAATACGCTGGCATATTTCTCTTTAGTTTTTTTGGTGCCTTCGGAGCAAAGAGCTCCCATTTCTACATTTGGACTATCATAACCCTGTGGCTCCATTTCTCTTTTATACAAAATATATAATAGAAATGTTTAAACCCATCACCGACAATCCACAATCTCTATACCTACAGTAGGCTCTGTGTTAAATTTAAAAAAAGGTTCTTTCAAACAATCATTTATCACGTAATGTTTAGAACACACGTTGATACAAATAAAGAGGAAAACATCACTGAGGAATCAGAAGAGCACCGACGTGTTAAAAAAAAGGGACATGGTGTAGAAATTGATGTTTTTGTTGTCTAACATGGGGGCGGGGCAGTATAACTGGCCACAAAAAACAGTTTCCTGCTACAGCGATACCAGGTGTTTCTTATAACTGCTACCTCTGTTCTTGCCGGTCATGTGTGTTCATAGTAGTTATAGGCACATGTCAGTGTGTGGCACTCTTTAATTGGATCCATTTTACAACTCATCTTTGATCCTCTTGTCGTTTCTTCCATTGCTGCATGCAGCTGCCAGCTCCTTCTTCCCGCTGGCGCTGCTTGGTATGACCTCCTTAAACCACTCCCAAGAGGCTCAATGTGTGACCTTCGCAGTTACATCCACCCCACGCCCTCATGCCCCCCTCTCTTCCCTCCCTCCCCGTACGTTATGGATTCTGTAGTAGACCCTCCCACTGGATTGGCTGCGAGAAGACCTCTCTCTCCAGCCACATCTCGTAGCTGTAGTGGAAGTCCTCCGGCAGCTCTACGCGCTGGCCCAGCACGCTCTGCAGGCAGTTGTCCACGGGCGCGAAATCTCCGTTCCTGTTCCTTTCGTAGCGGCGGCTGTTGAACTTCTCGATGCTCTCCCGCAGGGCACACTCCTCTGCCTGGAAGTCCCACGGCCGTGCGTCGATATCTGCGATTTTTACACAATTTGAATTTGAATTTAAGTGCCTGCTTCTTCTTTCTATCTCCTACTCTTTCCCGCTCTCTCTGTCACGCTCACAGTGACAGCTTGCTTGCTCTCCCGTGAGGGATGGAGACCCTGAAAAGTCCCCCCACCCCACTGCCACCCCCATCCCTGTTGCCATAGCAACACAAACCAGACAGTTTGCCATTGGCTGCTGGACAACTGTACTACACACATATATGACAGTATAGGAATCATGCAACCAGCTGCACAAACACCCACATACATGCAGTAACTACCCTGAACGTTCCTGTTTTCACAGCCCCGGGTACACATGTTCATTATGCTGCAGTCTCCTCTCTGTTCATCAGCTCTGAGTGAGGAGCACTGCTGGGGCCAATTAGCTCTGTGACTGCTTCGTTTAGGAAGATCTAAAAGGCTAAACTGAATGTATTCTGAGCAATGCTGCAGGATGTTCCTAATTTAATCTGTGACTCCAGCCTATCAGACTACAATTTACTAAGCTCCACTCGACAGTTTTTGACTAACATAAGTACCCTGTGTCATCATCATAAAGCATACAATAAAACTGTCACAGCTGTTGCCATTAAAACGCTGTTAGAAAATTCTATTTTGCATTTTTAAAATCTGATTTTTAATTTGTATTATTTCTATTTTTACTACATTATCTTTTCTTTTAGCTAATGTACTTTGTCACTGTGAACTAAGAGTCAGACACTGGCTTATCATAAACATATTAATGCATACTGACATTTTTTTAAAGCACACTGCAGAAAATCTGAATTTGGAAGTGCTGTTATAACAGCGTTTGTCCAGCAGAGGGTGCTCTATGTGTTCAGCACTGCAAGCACAGGTAGCAGAGAGTCATCAAAGCTGAATGGTGCAGAACAAATGCCTTCTTCACTTAAGTTACAGTAACTTTATGGTTTAGATATACTGTATGTGTATTATACATAAAGAATATGCGTTGCTATATTTATTAAAGGATTTTTTTTGTATCTGTCCCCAAAATCACATATCAGTTGCTCCAAATTGGATAAAAATTGGTTAAAGAAAAATTCCTAGACATAAAGTGTTAAAAGGAGTAAAAATGAAATAAAACCCAGAGAGCACACGAGTCACAAAACATAAATTGGTCTTTAGTAAATCAAACTGAACTGTGCAAACAGATTATGGGCTGTTCCCCAGTACACAAGGATATATTCTCTTCCCATGAGACGTGTTTTTTGACCTTTCGTCCACACATAAACAATGTTTTAGGTCAGTGAAAACGGATCTTCTGTGCACAGTGTTATTTGTAGCTTCTGATTGGCCAGTATTTTCAGATTTCTGGGGGGTTTCGTGATATTTTTCAAAATGTAAGCAGAAAATCCCTGTTTCAACAAATCCCAGCATACTGCTTCTGCCAGCTGCTATTTACCGTTTCCATAGGCCCAGTCATCATTGAGCCTGTGCCGGACCTTCTGGTAGATAGCCGACATGGTCTTCATGTTGCTCTTCCTCCACTGGCGGCCCAGGTACTTGGTCTGAATCTTGAGCAGTTTGAGAACATAGAGTTGCATCATGGCCTGCTTCACCTTCAAAGCCCTCTTCAAGATGGGGGCAGACTTGAAAACAACCAGCATCTGAAAGAAAGATTAAATATAATGAAGCAAATTGAAGGCATCTTACAAACTAAATGTCCCTTTAACAGGATGCACACTCGTAAGGAGGCAGATATCACTTTGCATTCAATATAAAGATATTGAATTCAGGTGGGCGTTCCAACCTAAGGCTTCTTTATGAGACGCAGACTAATGCAGATTTACACACCATGGTCCTCGAGTGTTTCCACTTGGTCAGCTTATTCAGGATTCTCAGCAAATTAATGCAGGAAAACAGATTCCTCCAGCAGAACTGACTGCTGTCTCCGGCTTCCTGAAAACACAAGTGGAGACACCGAGATCATCATTACACAGCGAGCGCTACGTTCTTAGCTGACTATTACTCATTGAGGCTCAATCAGCGTGACTCACCAGGCTCTCAGCTGTAAGCTCAGGCATCTCATGGACCACACAATGGGGAAAGTCCAGCACACATATACTATAGTGTGAAAACACAGAAACAAACAACGAGAGCCAAAAACTGATAACTCTGCAGATCAACCTGTCACCTGTAACTTAATGTGAATCTGTATGAACCTCTTTTAGGTTATTACACCAAACAGATGCTTGTGCGACTGATCGTCGGAGGTTGAAAATGGTGACATAAATGGCGCTGTAAGTCGAAAGGATGAGAGAAAAGGATCCTACCTGTTTTTGGCACTGATGTAAGACATGATGTTCTGGTTAAAGAACTTGAGGATGAGTGGGATACAGTTGGCAAACACCAAGTGCTGGGAGACAATCTCAAACTGCAGGGAAAAAAAGAGGAGGCGGCAGTGAGGAACAGTCTGGAGAAGAGCCATGGCTGAAAATGCAACTGTTACATTTAGTGATATGTATTGGAAGAAAGGAAAGCCAATCAATCAGTCAATAATAGTAAAAATAATACAACACATTTCAGACTTTTCTTTGGGGGTGTGGGGAAAAAACAACCCAATATTACTGCTGAGTGTGGAAAAGATCAGGAGCCAAGTGGGGTCATTTCTCATGCTGAAGCTACAGTATTCATCTCAATGCCGAGTTTGTGTGGGTCTCAAACAATCCGCAACCGATTTGACTTCCCACTGGAGCCGCTTTCCCCTTCAAAATTGTGTCAGCATGTAATCTCCTTTAGTTGCAACAGAGGGCGCTATCATTCTAAGTTTACAGAACAGCTTCTCAACTATGTCGATATCCCTTACTAGCATCAAAAAAATTCATAATCACTGAAGCAACAAAAAACTGAGATACTAAGCACCAGAAATGAGGATGAATCATTTAAAAAAACAAAAAAACAAATGGGCTTTTTCAGTGAGTTTTACGTCCTCACTGAGATGAACTCCAATTGCGAATCTGTGTGGCTGAGTCAGGGGTTTGCGAGTTGTGAGTGAAGATAAGGCTACAAACGTGTGAGGGGGGGGG